GGTTTAATGAATGACTCATCTTTGTTATTTAATTGCATTTATTAGCCTGAAAATGAGCAGGTGATTTTTCTGCCTTTGAGGTTGTATAGATATTTTATCCCGTACTTCCGTACTGTTATGAAAAGTACACAGAAATACTCTTGAATGGGTATTTTGTATTGTGACTTGAGTTTAGTAGGTTCTTTAGTACCTCCACTTTTTTGTAGTACAGGGGATAATACGGAGCAACAAGGAAATTATTCCTTTTAAAAATGTGGAGCTACAGTGCACAGACTTTCAAATGTTGGGATGGGCATTCCAGAAATGTTTGGAAATTCTTAAATTGAAATTGTATCCTAAGCTAGAGCTTGTGTAAAACAAAAGTGTGGGGTTTTTTCGAACTGCTTTCAACAGGTGAGACTGTTATAACTGAAATAGTAAAGTTTTTCTTCTAACCTTTACCTTAACAGTTTTGCTGACATTTTGTGGTTGGGCCTTTCTACTAGTTTTTCTGTATTCATTTTTCCTTATATATGAAAGAAGCTATGCAGACAGCAGGAGATGATTCTTCTTAAACTGTTGAAATTCTAAAAACTGAATAAAGGTACGGGTCTTATCCTTGGGTTAATTAGTTCTTATGTAAAAATAAAGTTTCACTTTCTTTTCCCCTGATGTCTCTTGCCCTGTGGTACCACCCCATCCTAGTGAAGGGTGATTTTCATTGCCAAATGAATGGATTGGGAGTAGTGAGTAGAGACAGGGGCAGAGCTAAACTCCTGTGGTGTCACTATATGGGGAAGGAAAGTATGGAAAAACTAGGAGCTGTTTTCTCCAAACATCCAATTATGGTCGGTAAAAGCAGCAAGTAATTTCTAGCGGGTCAAGCTTTACAGGGCAAAGCATTCCAGGGCCAGGCTCCTGTTGTGAAGCAGTACATTAGAAACACTTTCCAGCTGCAAATTATTGGTGCTTTTGCTACATCCATCAAATGTATTTTATTTTTTAAATAAGGTGTGATTTTTTGTGTCTAGATTGTTTATTGAGGTGATCATGATGCCCTTTGAGGAACTGGATGTATTATTGGAAGGATAGTTCTCTGAAAATAGGAATTTTTTAAAAAAATATATATTGGTTTGGGAAATGTGTATGAAAGAAGATCCAAGTCTAATTGAACTTATGCAAATATAAAGTACATGGGTGTCTTACTGAACAGTTTCCCCTTCTAATACAGAAAATCTACAAGGAGCTAGTAAGGTTGTTAAATTTTATATTTACTCATCTTTAAAACATGTTTTTGACACATGTAACTATGATACTGAAAATTAAATAAAAAGCAGCTTTAAAACAGCTATTTGGTATTCTAAAATCTTATGAAAATATAAAAAGGCAACAAAGTTTTGATGCGCTATTCGCAGAGATAGTGGTGGGAGTGTGTGTTAAGTGAGGGCAGAATACATATATACACACACACATATACATGTATATCTGTGTGTGTGTATATATATATGCGTGCATATATGTTTATATATATAAATATTTGCATCTCAATTTGCATATTTCAGCTGTAGTTCATCCTGAGTTGGCAAGATCTGTGTGCACTGACCTCTTTGGTTTTACCATGTTTTTGTTGCTGTTGCCCAGAATGCTGTCTGTAGCAGCAAAGGAACAATTTACAGTGATCTGCTCAGTCCTGTTCTTCCAAAGCTTTTGTTTATTCCTGCCTTATTAGCCTTAGTTTCAGCCTCTCATGTTCTTTAATTAATGACTTCTCCAAGCTGCCGTATTCTTTATTGCATCCTCCCTAGCTGCTTCGGTGCATCTAGCTGATTGCCCTTTTTCCTGCCCTATGGCAGTTTCTTTTTCCTTGGATTTTTTTTTTTTCCCTTCTTTTTCCGCTGTTGCAACGTCATTGTTGGGATACCTTTTAAGGCACTTCTTTTTGGTTTTGCTATCACTTGTTTATTGTCATATCTTCTCCTGCTATGGGCTTTCCCAGTTCCCTGGTTCTCTCTGGTTGTGTTCCTGAAATACGAAAGCTGAGTGCTGCTTTCACACTGGCTTCTTTGTTCTTGTTATATGGGACTGGTTCCTTTTTCTGGAGGACCAGTTGTTTCTTGATGTGTAAAGCAAAGGATATGGGGTGCCTGTCTTAACCTTGGCTCCCTTTTTTTTTTCCTCCTCTATCTCATTTTTCAAGCCTTCCGGTAGTTTGTTTGTGAGTGGTGGGTTTTGGGAATTCTTTTTTTCTTTCATTACCTCTTAAAACAGATTTTCCTGAGTTTTTAATAATAGCACTGAATTTATTCATCAAGAGTCCTTGCACTTATTAAAAAAAATATAATTCAAAATTGAAATTAAGCCTTTTTTAAAGAAAACAACTCACATATACCTCTCTCCTCCTGTCTTTTATCTGTCAGTTTTTATTTGTCCATACTGTGATTTCTCAGCAAGCGGAGTTGCTAGCTGAGGTGTGTGTTACAGCTTAAATAGCTTTAAAAAATCAAATATTCTGGTGCTAGAACTTGCCTTTTATGGAGATTAATGAAAAGTCATGGTCTTGATTTGATGTTGGTGTTGGAAAAGGTATCTGACTACCACTGTCTCGAAGGACAATTTTTCTTCTTGCATATCTCCTAGAACAGGAGTAAATTTAAGAAAGTAAATACCTTCTTGTCTGCTCCTTCTATTTTATTGGTGTAAGGCTTTCATTTTGTATTGTTGAAAGTCTTATCACTTTAACTCTTCTTGCCTTTGAATATCTGGATAATTTTTTTCATTTTCTGCATTGTTGTTTTCCTTAACTGAGACAGTGGATAAATCTCTAAGTTGGTCACTTCACAAGTATCTTGGAACTTTAAACTAATAGAAAAATAAGAGGTACATTTTTAAATGACATCTTACTTTCCATTACATTGTCAAATGAAGATCCTTTTATTCTCTTTATTTTGCTTTGTGGCAAATAATTGATTACATTTTTTGGCTAGTATTCAAGGGCTCTATTTTTTTCTTTATTGTGAAGAGCAACATCAAATTATAATGCAAACCTATTTTTTTACCAGTTTTTTCTATGATTTGTGGGGAATATTTAAAAGTATAAATGATTTTGTGTGTGTAGGAAATAGTGAAGATCTCCATGGTTTTTTGCACCATACAAATCATGATGATATAATGATTCTGTCTTTATTAAGTTACAGCTTAAATAGGAAGTTAAGTTTATGGGAAGAAGGGAAAATAATGTTTAATGGAGCAGAGCACCTAACCATGAGCTGTGATGTAGAAGGAGGAACTAAAAAGTAGCATTGGGATGTCCTGGCTTCTCTTTCTGCTTGGAAGACAGGAAGGAAGGTTGAAGAATAGAGAATGGTCCTGACAAGCCGAAGTGGATTATGCTTCCAGGTGTAATGACTAGTAGAACAGAAGTGTGCACAGTATACCATAAAAACATAGGGTAGCATACGGTGTAGTTTTTGCAAATGGTTATTTTATGTGGTGGAATTACAGCAGCTTATGGGATATACAGAATTCGCTGTAGATGCAGAGTAGGCAGAGTGGTCTGGAAAGTGGTGAAATGTGCGTTGGATTTTGATGTCTTGTGGTGAGTGTACATGCATGTTTATGAGTCTCTGACTGTAGGACTGTTTTTTAAAAACAAACCTCCCCCAGTCCGTTATTTCCCCATTCTCTTAAATGCTCTGCAGGAAGTAAAGTACAATAAAAATGTTCTGCTGTTCAAGTGGTGCTGGGGACCTGAGGAAAATGTATCCCTTTTCCCTCAGCTTTGTGTGTTCAGCCCTTCATGGATGTTTCATCAGCTCTGACGGTTCTGTCTGCAAGTTTTAGTTTCTGAAATGTGAAACTAATACTTGTTTTCAGAGTTATGGTCAATACTGGAAGACAGGGTGGTGTCTTTTCTGAATGACTAGGTTCAAGACTTTTTGAAAGTGTTTTGTAATAAGTTTCCTCACACCTGAGATGTAAGTCATGGTGATGGTATTTGTGAAAATGAAGTTTGGGGGTTGTTTGCTTAGAGTCACACTTCAGATTTGAAGAGCTGACCATCCTACCTGTATCCTACATGTTTTGAATATAGAATATGCTTTTTGTGAATTCAGACTTTAAAAAAAAAAGTATTTAAATCTGGCACTACAGAATCCTTTTTTTGCTTAATGGTCTTAACAGAATAGCACTCTTAACTTCTGATACGATTAAAACTCTTTGAAATGGTGTGCCTGAGCTTGTAGAACCAAGATCAGAATGATTCTGTAAGTCAGGTTCACAGAATGCCTCCAGCTGTCACCTCTAAAGATATAGTAGCTTCTGAAACTTTGTCTTTGAGGAATTAACTTTTCCACTGAGTGACATGAGTATGGAGAACAGTGCAGAGCATTCCTCGAAACAGTTGATGCAGTAAATTTTAATAATAATATGGTATGGTCATAGCAAACTAAATGGTAAACATCTCCATTAAAAACATTTGCAGTGCCTGTGTATAGCGGGATAATTTCAAAAGTTAGTATTGATTTGATCACTTTGATGGATGAAAGTTGTCATACTTTTTGCACATTATTTTAAGGTTATAGGATTATATCGGTCTAGCTGTCTGCAGGGCTATCCTCATATATCTATTCAGTAAGCAGATATTCAGGCTAATTTAAATCAAACTGCAGTTATTTCTGTTTTATATTGTTTTTGTAAAATGACACGTTCCCATACCGTAAGTTAGTAGTGCCTGTACCATAAGTTAGCAGATAATAATTTTTGGACACAAATGTAACTTTGACAGCAGCCTTACCAAAATCTGGTAATTCAGTGAATATAGGTAAGTCCACAAGGAAGATAGCTTTGAACACTGCCTAGAAAGATCTGCCTGTTAGGCTCTGGGTTTCAGGGGCCAGCCAGCATTGTGGTGATACATAGCGTGGAAAGTTAGTAATCAGTCAGTTGTCTGAAATGTTGTCTTTTTGGTTAACTGCTTAAATTTCAGAATAAATTCTTAATATTTGTTTTCTCTGTTTAGCTCTTTTCACTGATGGAGATGAAACCTCCTATTTCCCGAGCAAAAATGATTCTCATCACAAAAGCTGCCATTAAAGCTATTAAGGTAAAGTACAGTAGAACAAACATGAAACTGTAACAGTAGTCATGTTTTATTATTTTACTTCTAAGTAAATGCATCTCTGGGTTTCCCAGTCTTAGCTTCATGAATGTTTTATTCTCGCTGGCATTAAGAATGTTATGTAGAAACAAGTGGGTGGTGAATATCATCTCTTGGTTTTAGACTAGTAGCATAATGCCAGCTTGATTTTTTTGAATCCTTGCTTTTTAATGTTACACCCACTAGGGTGTTGTGGTTTCTATGTAATAAAATTTTAAATGTTGCAGGATGCAGCTGTGCCTTAGCATATTAAAAAATAGTGGACTTGCTTAGAAAGTAAATCCAGAAAGCTCTCACTAATACTCTAGAAGCAGTTTGTCTTTTGTGTACGCACTGGTACACTTGTGACAGAAAGGATGGCTTGTTTCTGTCTGTTCCTCCCATTAACTCTTTTGCTCTGTGCTTAGTGAACTTATCTTGATAACATACTTCTTTCTAGAATCTGACTACAATATTTTGTTCGTAGTCTTTCCTAAATGATAGTTAGCACAAAGAGTTAAAATACTTCTAAAATGATGCTCCAGTGTTGAGTAGATGATAAATTAATTTATGTATTTATTTTCCAGCTCTACAAGCATGTTGTCCAGATTGTAGAGAAGTTTATCAAAAAGGTAAAAAAAAAATAATCTCCTGAGAAAGATATTGCCTGTATTTGTTACTAAGTATTATTATTAATGCTAGTAAATAACCAAAAAGGCTTCTGTTATTCAGGGATTGATGGGGGAAATTCTGTTTTGTTAGGATTTTATACTCATTTTGGTATCTCTTTGTCTATATGATCTTATTTTCGTTTTTCATAGTACATTAAGAAGGGGAGAAAAAAAAAAATTGTGAAATTTCCCCTTCCTTTTCTACCCAGCAGCTGGGGAGGAAACTGGAAGTATTGAACTTCAAATTAATTTTTACTGGCTAAGATAATACATATTTTCAGAAAATAGAGTTTTTATGCTTGCCTAGTCATGTAGAACTATAGGCTAGAATGTAACACTCCCTAAAACAAAACTATAGTGCTGCCTAAAGTAAGTTCCTCTGAGAGAACAGGAAAAATACTCTTTTTCATTCAGAGTCCTTCAGAGACCTCTGAAGAGAAGGACTTTGCATTAGCTGCTGGCAAATAGAGTGGGTGGAAGTAGTTCAATGCATTGAGTGTGAGGTAGCTTGACAGCAGGGTTGTGACAGTCTGTACTGTAATGTAGCAGACCTGTTGTTGTGGTCACATGTTGTCAGGCTAAAGGTACTTCAAAAATAGTGATGGAGAAGATAAAGGTTGCTTCAGGCTATCCAAGTATATTTACTCTGTCTCAAATGTGAAAGCATCTTTTTCCTTTCCTTTACATTTCTATAAATAAAACACAAGTAAAGCACTAAGAGAATTCTAGATAAACCAAATTAACTTTTTTTTTTTTCTATCCAAGTATACTAAGTATAGATTTTGTGTAAGGATTTAAGGTGAATGCATGTTACCTTGTTAGTATTGCTGCATAATGGAAAATTGTTTTTATATTTTCAGTGCAAACCGGAATATAAAGTCCCTGGATTGTACGTTATTGACTCTATTGTTCGTCAGTCTCGTCACCAGTTTGGAACGGACAAAGATGTTTTTGGGCCAAGATTCTCTAAAAATATTACTGCCACATTCCAGTATTTGTATCTCTGTCCATCTGAAGACAAGGTACAACTATAATTTCTCAAGTGTTCTTGTGAATTGATAACAGTGCTTCCTCAGTGTTTCCACTTACATGAAAGCTAATTTCATAGGATCATAGAATGGTTTGGGTTGGAAGGGACCTTAAAGATCATCCAGTTCCAACCCCCCTGCCATCAGCAGGGACACCTCCCACTAGACCAGGTTGCTCAAAGCCTCATCCAGTCTGGCCTTGAACACTTCCAGGGAGGGGGCATCCACAGCTTCTCTGGGCAACCTGTTCCAGTGTCTGACCACCCTCACAGTGAAGAACTTCTTCCTAATATCTAATCTAAACCTCCCCTCTTTCAGCTTAAACCCATTTCCCCTTGTTTTGTCATTAACTGCCCTTATGAAAAGTCCTTCCCCAGCTTTCTTGTAGCCCCTTCAGGTACTGGAAGGCCGCTATGAGATTTCCCCGGAGCCTTCTCTTTTTCAGGCTGAACAGCCCCAACTCTCTCAGCCTGTCCTCACAGGAGAGGTGCTCCAGCCCTCGGATCATCTTGTGGCCTCCTCTGGACTCGTTCTAACTGGTCCATGTCTCTCTTGTGTTGGGGGCCCCAGAACTGGACACAGTGCTCCAGGTGGGGCCTTAGGAGAGTGGAGTAGAGGGGCAGAATCACCTCCCTCGACCTGCTGGCCATTTTGGAGATTCTCTATGTCCATGGTAGTGAATGTTATTATATGAAATGGTAAAACATGCTGAGAAAGATTATCAAAGGTGATAGATAAACAAAAATTCTAGTTAAAATATTTACTTTGCCTAACTTCATCACTTCTGTTTTGCCTATGCAGACATTTCAACAGTGTGTGTAACTATGACAAATCTTCTCTTCTTGAGGCTTCTTCAGAAAAACTTACTATGGAAGGCAGTGTCTCTCACAAAAATAAAGTATTATAGGAGAAGATCTGGTGTCATAGGCAGTGAAAGTTCTGCTGCCAAATATTTTCAAAGAAAATCATCATGTTGATTGCTTCAGTCTTTACAAGTCCCATACCTGAGAATTTCATTGCTGCTCTCCATTGTCGAGACTTGTTTAAGTCCTTGGTTTTCTTAGATTTGCTGGCCTTGCTGATAGAACAGAGGTTCAGGAAGTATCCTGACTTCATGGTGGTCTAGGTTCCTACCAACAGAAGATGGCTTTTATGCTGTCTGTCAGAACAATTTCAAAAGACTCCCAAGTTATGTATGTTTTAGAAGTTGCTGGTTGGTTTCTAGAAAATCACCTGTTTGCTCTTTTTCTTAATTGTAGTATGGTAAGAGCAAAATACTCTTTTTCTAAGTGACTTTTCCGTCGAAGCTTTTGAAAGGCTTTGATGCTCTGTAGTTTTCTAATGTGGAACACTTAGACCTTTAGGCCTTGAATCTGATATTCTGGAGCTACTGGGTTAATACTCTGGTGAAATAGAGCAGTCTCTTGTTTCTGTCCTTGTGATTACCATTTTGTTCATCTAAATGAGTTAGACTGTCCATCTTCTTTATGGAACTACTTGATACCTCGCTGCTAAAATAATTTTAAGATGCTTTCCACTAGGGGAATAATACTGTTTATAACATGCTTGCTTTAATGAATTTTCAGTACCTTAAACAAAAAGTGATCTGCAGATATGCAGTAACTATGGATGATATCCAAAGAAAGTGATACTCCTTTTTTTTTTTTTAATTAACAGCTTTTCTGTAAGATTAATATGTGACTGAAAACAAGAGTATTAAATTTATTCATTTTTTGCCCTTCATAATATTTTCAAGTCTTCTGGAGAGAGAGAATACCCAAGGCCAAAAAATGCTGCTGTTTTAAAATTAACTGTTTTTCAGACCAAAATCTTATTCACAAATAGCCATTTCAGGTTTCTCTCAAATCTTATTGTAGAAAACATTTTGTGAAGTGTTATAATTGCTTAGCTTCTGAAAGCATAGGTGGATTTGCATGGGTGTATATAATTGAGTCACAGTAAGGCATTTTATTGTTGAAACAAGAAGGAACAGAATCAATTCATTCTTAGCAGCTACAGTAGAAGTAAAAAGTACTTAATATGTATGTATGTGCAAGTCAGATGACTAGGTATACAGAAGGGACAGGTGTGTCAATATAACGTGTATTCTGACTTTTATCTGCTTGCATGTTCCAACTGAAGCAGCACATCTAGTTAGATATCATTGTTTAATACTGGACTAAAGAAGGAAGGACTAATTTCCAGCTTGTTCCTGAGGGCTTCATTGTTCTTAGTGTTAAAAAAGGAAACAAGCTTAAAATAACAGCTGACAATCAGAGATTCTAATTTAATCTTTCTGCAGTGATTAGTTAGAATATTTTCCACTTGCTTTCCTGATCTTTTGAATAATGATGGAGATGGGTTTTCTGATGTCAACATAGAATTGATTGGGTTAGTAGAAAAAAATTCAAGCAATCTTCTATCTAACTTTGAAGCTTTATTCTAGCATTTTATGTTCTAATTACCCCTCTCTTCATGAGGGTTTTCCAGGTTATCTTAATTTTCTTTGTCATTCTTGTCTCATTTGTTGTTTGTTTCACCCCTTTATGACCATCTGTGAAGAAATGGTGGGACTGATGTGATTTCCTCTGTTATGTATCAAACCTGGATTTTCTGACTGGCCAGAACAGTTTTAGAAAAGTGGCACAAGTTGCTTTTTATTTAAGTGGCTAGTAAGTTTTTATCTTCACCATGTAAAAGGTCTCGCTGCCCCATGTGACAACGTAGGGGTTGTTGAATAGGTATACCTGATTATGTTGAACTCCTATACTATTCAAACCCTTCTTCATAACATACAGAAGATAAATTTTGAGTTTGTGAATTAGGAAAGCTGTATTTAGTGTTTATGGTTGCTTGTGTTTCGACAGAGTAAAATAGTCCGTGTCCTGAACCTTTGGCAGAAAAATGGAGTATTTAAAATTGAAATAATTCAACCTCTTCTGGATATGGCAGCAGGAACTAGTGCCACTGCACCAATGACAGAAAATGCTACTAATAATGAAGGTATGAATGATATTATAACTTCTTTTAAAAGGATGAGTGATAACAATAGCTCTTTTGTTTTCACATTAAAGTGCCTACTATTAGTTTCAAAAGTAACATATTAATAAACTGAACTTTGTTGTCACAATTATGTGTAGCAGCTGAACTCATTCTAAATAAATGCTGAAACTGTATTTCAGAAATTATCAGAATGTGAACACTTATTTGGGAAATATCTGAAATTTATATAATGTGTATGCATATGTACCTACATATGTACACACTTTACTTAAATATGACTTCAGAGTCCCCTCTTAAAAAAATCTTTAATTTTTTTAATTTTGGTCCAAAATATTTTTCTGTTGTTTCTCAGTTTTATAGTTCTGATGTATTTTTTTTTAATGTTAGAATCTGGATAAGTAAAGCGTGATCTTACACTTCAAGAGCTTCATCTTTCTTTGAATCAACTTAGTATCTGAAAGCAACAGCTTTCAGTCTCTTCCAGTATGCGGCCCCAAAACATTTTAATTGATGTTTCAAATCCAGATTTTTGAGCTGCAAATTTATGCCTTGCAGTAGGATTTTACACGGGCTACTGCCTGAAAACCACTGACCTAAAGAGTGAAATAATGATGACCTGCCCACAGTATTTTCCTGACCTATTTTGTGCCACATAAAAAGCTGGTAGTGAGGTCACTGGCTTGTGGACGAGAATATGCATCCCACAATTCTCTTTCTCTGGAGGGCCTTCTTTTGAGTTTGCACTCTATACTTCAGACTTACCTTTGGTAACCAACCTCCTTATTTATTGTATTCGTGTATGTTGGAGTAGGACTGACAAAAAATGTAGTGGAGTGAGTGAAGTGTGGTGACAAAATAATGATGCACAATAGCATAAGTGAAATCTTCTCCAGTGGTGTTTAGGAAACCGTATCCTATTGACATGTTTAATAAACGTGGCAGAGCAGGGAGAGGGAATGTCTTAGCATCTGAGCTGGGGTGCACACTGCTGGCTATACAATTTCATTGTGACATGACAGATTAGTTGGCACTATTTTTCTATCTTGGTGTCATCACAGGTTGGATGCCTTCTGCATAGGTTTTCATGTACAGAATTACTGATTTCAGTGGGATTATTCAGATGCACCAGAGAGGATAATTTGGCCCTGAAATAAACGTGCTAATGGATAATAATAAATACGTTAATGCATTATGTGAAATAGAATCTATTTAGCTTATAATGCTACAAAGACAAAAAAAGAGAGAGAGAGATGCAGATTTTCTCCCTTGAGCAAGAAAATATCCTTATGAATATATACAGGAAGTAATTTGGGAGTTAATTTATATTTAAAAACAGTCACATATCTTTTTGCAGTATTTTTATGTAGCATCTGACTTCTGGCAAAATATTATTCAACACCTTTGTCTCTGCTTGCTGCACGTCAACACTGCAGTTATTTAAACTGCAAACAGATTAATGACTTTAAAGAAGTTGGTATTGTGAGGCAAACATATTTGCTTAGTGTCATCAAACTAAAAAGTATTGCTATTTGTGGATTTTTTTAACTGTCTCTCCTGGTACAGTTTTATAGTAGTCCATTAAAATATATTTGCTAAAGAATAGTTATTTGCTCACAGCACGTAGGAATTGGTGGTATTACTGCTAATTTACTTTGTCCTGACAAAATGTTTATTAAAAAAAAGCATTGTAATCAAATGCAAAGAGAATGGGAAAGCTGCATGTGTAGACAAAGCTAATAGTGTGTCTTAAAATATGATCTCAGTTTAGTAAAGCTCAGTGGAAATGGATGTCTTTTCCTGGAAGAATTAGAAAAAACTTTATTTTTATAGTAGGAGGATTTGTCTGTCAGATGCAAGTTGGGATTGTGCCTGTGCAAAAGTGGCATGTGAACAAACCTTATTAAAAAAATGGTTTGCTTGTGAAGTAATTTTTAAAAACCTTTAATTATTACCAGGCATTTCAGCAAAAGTTCTGTTACTGCTAGAAAATAAAAAATATTAAGAGAACCTCAGTTGCTCTTAAAATGAACGAATAGATGATTGGTAATAATCATGCAAAATAATGAATCCAGACCTTCATAACCAGAATTAACATTTTAAGTGCGTTGATACACATTTTGGTTAGCACTGGTTGAGTAACAGTTTTTCTCTTTAACTTTTCTAAAATTATTCAGCTATAAACATTGGGTTGTGCTCTGCAGTGCCATGCTGGACTAGCTTTCAGATAAGCCATTTTTCTTTGTTTTCTTTCTTAGCGTATATAGCGCACAGATGTGAGCAGTGAATGGAGCAGTTAAACACAAAACAAACAGAATATGCGATTGAGGTAGATTAGATATGACTTTTTGGGTTAAATAGAGTATTGTAGATACACAGTTGTTCTGAGGCAGATGTGTGCACTGAAGAGTGAGATGAATGTTTTGGAGTAACGTAGTGCTTTCTCAATTCTTATGAAACTCTCAGGTTCGCCACCCCCTCCAGCAAAGGTTCCTTCGGAGCCCCCTCAAGTTACTGCTAACTCAGTACCTACTGTGCCACAGTTGCCCAGTTCTGATGCCTTTGCAGCTGTAGCTCAGTTGTTTCAAACAACACAAGGACAGCAGGTAACCTGTTTATATTTGGTTCCCTTATGACTTCAGTTTTTGTGTTAAATGAGGGGGGAAAATGATGAAAGTGATATCCTGGATTTGAAGCAAAACAAAAAGCCTCCCTAAGGTCTTCAGTGGAAAACTTGTTAAAGTCAGTATTTGAATTATCTGTGACCCTTCTATCCAACAATTACAGTATTTGAGGAAAATTCAGTTACACATTCGTAAAGAATTAGTTCTAGGTTGGTGCAGTTGCAAAGTTTCAAGAACAGGCGGAATACGTCAAACAAAATGTTGAGTTTTATTGTTTGATCCACCTAAATTTTGCACTGTTGAAAGCCTGAATACTGAAATCTTGGGATCTGCTGAATTTTGCCACTGAAGTATTTAAAAGTGGACTTTTGATCTTGCTGAGGGTTCTCCATAGTTCAGTCAAGTTGTTGGTGTTTATCCTGTGCTATATTCTGGTTTGATGTAAAATTTATGTCCTACAGCTCCTATATAAACTATGTGTTTATATAAGAATTTATACTTAATACTATTTATGTTTTTGTAGCTTCAGCAAATTCTTCAGACTTTTCAGCAGCCTCAAAAACCCCAGTCACCTGTCATAGATAACACTGTGATGGCTCAGGTTCAAGCTATTACTGCTCAGTTGAAAACTACAGCAGCACAACCACCAGAACAAAAAGCTGCTTTCCCACCACCTGAGCAAAAAACATCATTTGACAAAGTAAGTCTTCATTTGTTCTTTGTGTTTAACTTTTTCAGTTCAGCAGAAGACTGTTTGAAGGGTGCCTCAGTGTCCTTCATTTGTTAGGAGAAAAATGGTGCAGATTTTGTTTCTTTCTGTTTGAAGGTCTGCTTCCTATTTTTATAGGCTTTGCATTTTCTGAGGCTGAATAAAGCTGGTTTTGGACAGTTTATGATTCTGTATTAGAATATAGAATTTTATTTTATTTTTTTCCCCTCGATTCTAACATTGTCTTTAATTCCAGAGCTGTTAGTTATATAGTAAGACTTCAATAATAAGGATATTTTGGCTGCCAATTATATAAGATACTGAAAAAATAGATGGCTCAATGTCATTTCTTTCAGAAGCTGCTAGATAGGTTTGACTATGACGATGAACCAGAAGCAGTGGAAGATTCAAAGAAAGAAGATTCAGCGCCTTCTCCTTCAGTTTCTCAGCCAGCTTTGTAAGTTTTGTGTCACAATAAAATCAACAAATCTTTGTTCTAAAAAAATCTTTAGATTAGAAAACTGATTAAAATTCCAGATTACTTCAGTGCTTAACTGTCCAAAGTTAAAACGTTGTTAACAACTTCTGGTTAACAACTTTTTTTTGTCTTTTTACTTTGGTGATCCGATGTAGGTTTGACCTGTTGCATCATTGATTGAGAAATGTGTTCTGTAGAGAAAAAGCTCAGTTCTGGTTTCAAGATGAGTTCCATGATTTTACTGCACAACTGAGTGTGTCAGGGCATTTTTAGTAGTCAGCCAGATTGCTTTGCTGGTTGGGGAAAAGACGCTATTCCAAACACTGTGGTAGTTTTAACTATTTAAAAAATTAAAATTGGCTTTGCAGCTTTAAATTCTCAAACATTAAATACCCACACAAACTAACTTGGACTCCTGTTTCCCTTTTGATATGCATTATGATAAAGTCTTAAATTACATAATCACATACGAGTTTTTTCCACAGGAGCTCTCTCTCATTCAGTGCACAGGCTGGATGGTGCTCAGTACCTGGGTCAGTCAATATTTCTTTTTTCCCTGCTTCAGTACGTGGCCCCATGTCTTATTTTCTGTATGTGCCATCCAAACCCTGCTGACAAAACCAGAATTACTAACTTTATCATTAGCTTTCTTACTGCGTTTATCGCCTTGAGCACTTTAATGTTCCACAAGTATCAGTTAATTAAAATGCCTTTTAAGTGTATTTGTAGTATTTTCCTTGTAATACAGATGGAACTCTGGAGTCCAGAAAGATGAGGTAGGTCAAACATAAGCACTGCTTGTGTATGCCCAACTAGAGATCACTGGACTTGGCTTTTCGGCCTGTTTATGTTCTGTTTGTAGTACTTTAAAGCCTCTATCCTTATTATCTTCTAGTTGTGTAAGATGCCTCTGAAGACTGGATCCCAGTAGTCTAATTTTGGGCACACAAAATCAATAATCCTCTATATGAAAAGCTGATCTGTCCCAAATTGTCTAAGAATTGTATGGCACCTTAAAATACTACAAAGTTCCGTTTCACATCACCATTAAATTCCTCTATCTTCCTGAAATCCTGTTTAGTTTCTCACACAAACTATTAACAGGTCCTATTATCTGCACAGACCTCATTAGATCCCTGAGCACTGTCCATTCTGTGTGTTGAATCAGGAAGTGAGTGGCATTACTGTAATCCTTGTGTGATCTTCCTTGTGGAAAGGAAGAAAGTTAGCCTAAGGCAGACAACCTTCATGAAAAATTTCCATAGATTGAGATCTTGAGCAAGATGGTACAGGGGAAGAGATGCTTAAACCTTTATGTAGCAGTTCCTTAAATGTGAAAGGACTACTCTTACAGTGGAGAAAAGATAAGGAAGGCACTCTTTCTCCTTTTTTTGTTTTCAGTTTTTAGGGAGGAAATGGGATCATAATAAAGATAATTTTTCTGTCTAAATTTGAAGTGAGAATGTGCAAATGTACATTGAATATGTAAAATAAAGGCAAAAATTTTTTGTATCTACTGACTTGTCTCTCCAAAATATTACTGTTTTTAGTGGATTTCCAGGAGAAGGTATGCAGCAGCCAGTGTTTCCTCAGCTCCCAAATATGGATCCTTTTCAGCAACGAATGATGGGAATACAACAGGATCCAATGCGTCACCAGGTAACTTCAGGGTTTTCCCTTGTCCCTCTGTTGTGTTACATTTTAGGTCTTTTGTTGTTTTCTTTGGTGGAGAGCTAAGAAAGTGGTGTTCCTGTTAGTGAAGCATGAATATGGCTTAACCCTCCAGCTTTCCCAAGAAACATACTTTTGTTCTCTGTTCTAGGAAGGCTTTGAAGAGCAAGATAAAATTTTATTTTATACACCTAAATGCTTGATCTCCTTCATCTTTCTCAGGCTTCTGGTCTTTTATTGTGACTTTAGAACGGAGATACAATTTTACTTAAGCAAACTGGGAAAGCCAATGTAATTTTTTTCCTAACTGGAAGTTTTTGTGTTTTTCTTCTTCCAAAGGTTCCACTTCCTCCTAATGGGCAAATGCCAGGTTTTGGTCTCCTTCCTACCCCACAGTTTCCACCCATGGCTCAGCCTGTGATTCCACCAGCAGCACCTGTGCAGCAAACTTTTCAGTCTCCTTTTCCAGTACAGAGTGAATCACACATGCAAAAACCACATCAACAGGTGAGTACCCCTTGCAATAAACAAACTTACTTGTATGCTCTAATACATGTCTCTCAAATGTGTATAGTTTGTTCAGGAGAGGAAATTTCATGATAACCATGTCCAGAGATGACTGTGAGGGTAGCGCATTTGAGAGAAAGTTGGATAGCTGCAGTGCTACATGACAAATCTGGTATTTCAGAACTCTAGCAAAACCAGCATATGCATAATTTATGCCTCCTTTTGTGGAAGACTTTGGATTAGATTTTATCCTTCCACTTCTCACTTTCCTTCATACTCCCTTTCCTGTCCCCATCCTGCTTTAGGAGTATTTTGTTCAATGGAATTCTAATAATGCAGTCTCATTCTGGAGAGAAACTATCTGGAAAAGTTAATTTTTAAGGGCCTTTTAGATCACTGATATAGTGCAAATGGACTCAGAAGTCTGTAAAAGTTTTTAAAAAATCAAAGTCTATGTAAACACCTCTCTTATTCCTAAGATTTTGGAGGGTATTGTTGGTTGGTGACTGGCTGCTATTAAAAAGAAACCAAAGAGCATGTCTATTTATGAGCCCGTATTTAAAAATGACGTAATGTAAAACATAAAATGAATGTATTTGCCTATTTTTTTCCAAGAAAAGGAGATCCTACCAAGCTGTCTTTATGTGGTGACCTGTGATGTCACAGATTATAGAAATAAGTTCTTGCTTTCTACATGGAATTAAGGGACAATTCTTAAGAGTATTTTAATAATTAGTTAGTCTTGAAGTCTGTTGAATCGGTACATTCTGAGAGGTTGTTTGTTTGGGTGTTCCCTGCTAGGGCCACATCATGAAGTTCAGGCAGAACACAGTATATTCTGGAGTGGGAAGCTGAGGAGGATTTGGGTTAGGAAAGAAAAGCTGTGTTGAACTTTCTGGGGTGTTTTTTTAAGCAGGTTCTTGCATTTTATGTGTCGTTTTGAAGACTTACAGCTTCATTCTTCAAATTTATTGTATTGTAATTTGCTTATGTCTATGGTTTAAAGTAATTTCCTAGTACATCATGCAGGAAACTTTTCTCTTAGACCTCACTTTGCTTGTGGTTTTGATCACAGACAAATCCACTGACTGACTTCAAGGAATATAATCATATTCTATGGAGATATATGTGGTGCTGAAATCGACTAAAATGTGGGAAAACAGTAATATGCAAATTGAAAATGAGACCTTTGTGTAAATTATTTTTATTATGTTTTTGCAGTGGTTGTTTTTTAAGTTCATTTTATACTGTACTGTCTCCCTACTAGTGAATACAAAGTAGTGGTAAAGCTTCTGAGGACAGTTGCATTACATTTTAATTTCACATATGTGAATATTCAGTATAATTTTAGTGCTGTTATGTAATTTGTCTAGACATAAAATGAAATAAAATGCTTGCACTACTCAACCAGTGAACTTAATATTTTAGGATATGGAAGTGGAACAGCCACCTATTCAAGAAGGAAAACGGCATGTGTCTGAAAACAGAAAGTCAAGATCTAGGTCTGCATCAAGGTAAATCAGTGAAAGTTCTTTCAGTGGGGGTATATATTATCTCAGGTATTGGATTTTAAGATAAGGAACTTATGTGTGTCGTGTCCAAAGAGTTGAAAATGCTTTACTAAGTCTGTGCGAGTACTGAGGAGAGTTATGCTCATTATCTGGAGCTCAAAGAATCTGGCTCTGTGCTGACAAATCTACTGTGGGGTGGTAACTTCGGACTGAGATGACAGTAAATAGCTGAGAAGTGAGCTAACTCCTTGAACTATTGATGAGGCTCATTTTCAGTACCTTAGGACATAGTTCTGTCACCTGTATTTCAAGTTGCCTTCTTGGGTGCCCTGCTCAGCACACTTCTTTGAGGTCATTTCTTGTAAGTGCCCAGAGGTGCTGCACAAGTTGGATTCTATGACTAAGTGCCAGAAGACACATTTAGCTTTCAATTTAATCTAAGGGTTAATTACAAGAAATTAGTGTCTGTGTATTATTCTCCGTATGGACAACACTCATGAAATTTCTTGGTAAAGCCCAAACTGTCAAGGGCTTTGTTTGAATTCCCCTTCTGGAAGAGAGAAAGAAAGAGACCCTTTCAGTCTCTCACGCCTGAGGCGAGCTGTGTATCAATACAGGTAAATGCTGGATGTACTTCATTGCAGTGGTACTGAGAAATGGATTAGTGACTCTTAAGACTTGCGTACCTCTGAAAGTCATCTACCTTCTAAGGAAAATTTGGTATCTATACAGTTCTCTTTTGTTGATAGAGAGTAACTTCAATGCCCATCAATACTGGGTAAATTTTAGGGAAGCAGAATATGATAGTTGAATTTTGTCTGTGCTCTTTTCTTATGACACTTTTCTTATGAAGAAATCTGTGATCCAGTGTACTATGGGACTTGGTCTGTTGACAGGCCGTATTTCACATGTCTCAGCTGACCTAACAAATCTGGCTTCAATATTAAAACAAAGCTATCTACTTAGTTATAAGTCTTCTCCTTTGCCAAGTTTCATGTGACAACTTTGGAGTTTTACTCTCTCCTCCAGACTTTGAGTGATTTAGGACTTCAACATGATGTAAAATTTTCTGCCAATTTCACTGGCAGAATTTATTTTTAATCTCATTTAGCCACTCTTTTGTAAAAGCAATAAACATTTTCCTAATTTAAGCAGATGTCATCTTTTTCTGTGTTGATGTGGACATAGTTTTGGTAGTTGTCTTTAATACAAAATTGATAGAAGATGAGAAATTGAAAAATAATCAACTATTCAGCTGAAGTGCTTTAATAAGCTACTGTAATAATTTATTCTAGTTCTCAATGCATGTGAATGAACTTGTATTTTTTTATTTTTATTGACTGATCTCTTGCCTGATGATTTAAATAGATATCTGAAATACTTATCTATCTGTGAATGGCTGATTCAGAAGGATTGAACCTAAATGGTTGTTGCTTTAAACTAGGTCACCTAAAAGGAGACGTTCAAGATCTGGTTCCCGATCTCGAAGGTCACGTCATCGTCGATCTCGATCCCGGTCCAGGGATAGACGCCGACACTCTCCGAAGTCTCGGTCACAAGAAAGACGTGAACGTGAGAGGGAGAGAGAACGCAGGTCAAAAGGCCTTCCTCAGATCAAGTCAGAAACTGTTAGTGGTAAGTTTAGTCTTTCTCTTTATTGTTGATGTAACTCGGGAAATTCTTGTAATACCATTTATCAGATGCTCAGTATCTTCCTGGTTCATATTTTTGTAATGTTTTTGTCTGTGCCCAGTATTTTCTTTAATGAATTCTAAAGTTCTGTGGAATTGAAGATATTACAGTAAATACTATGCCTATGTAAAATGGAATGCTAACAAGACAAACAGGTATTTTAGAAAAACTGTAAATGTCAAAGAAATACACTTGTATTTATTAAACTTTTTTTTCACAGAATCATAGAATGGTTTGGGTTGGAAGGGACCTTAAAGCTCATCCAGTTCCAATCCCCCTGCCATCAGCAGGGACACCTTCCACTAGACCAGGTTGCTCAAAGCCTCATCCAGCCTGGCCTTGAACACTTCCAGGGAGGGGGCAGCCACAGCTTCTCTGGGCAACCAGTTCCAGTGTCTGACCACCCTCACAGGAAAGAATTTCTTCCCAATATCTAATCTAAACCTCCCCTCTTTCAGTTTAAATCCATTTCCCCTTGTTTTGTCATGAACTGCCCTTAAATTTGCCCTTAAAAGCCCCTTTTAATTTGATCTTGACCATTCCTCTTATCTTCAGTATATGATACCTGCTCAGAGTATCCCAGGAGACAACTCTTAATCTGATCTTTGTTATTTAAAAAAAAAATTTATTCCTTTTTCTTGGGATAATACTATTTGATATGGGTTCCAAGGCTCATCCAAACAAAAAAGTAAACTGTACTGTGATTTATTTTCTGAACTGTTGTAAAACTGATAAGAATTCAAATCACCACACATCCCTGTACTTCCTTTACTCATAGTAGACAATTTGGCATTTTTGGAATATCTCTAAGTCAGAAACATTTTGACTGTAAAATGAGGAAAGAAAAAGCTGAAACACCATGTTTTCCTTTTTCTTAAATCGGGATATATAAGGTAAAGCAGATTGAGCAACAAGAAGTTGATCACATTATTATGATTTTTCTAATGATTCATTGTCTCTCAAACCTGGAGGGGAACTTTGACCTGGAAAACACACAGGCTAATGTTTGCATTTCTGAAGTAATCCTGCCTTTGCCTGTGTTTATAGACAAAGTGTAGTAGTTGTCTTCTGAGTATTCCTGAAGAATGAAATCTTCTCTGGAGTCATAAAGTAAAATGAGAACATTCTTTTTTATATAAAAGGGACAAAACCTAAAGAGTTTAAACTAGCCCAAAACCTTGTGAATGACAATACTGTTAGTTTAAAAGGACTGCAAAGACTTAGCAGCAGTCCATTAAAAGCTTACTGGCAGTGGTGTAAGATAGGCTTTTGACAGCGTCTCTCCCAGATTCTGTCACATAATGCCTTCTAGGTTTGCAGTTTTCTAACACTTAGTGGGGAAAACATAGATGAGTATTAAATGTTGCTGTAGTAGTCTTCAGTGAATGTGATACTTTGAGCTCATCTGCTGGTTTAATGACCTTGAAGGATGCAGTGAGATAAGCATGTTGCTTACTCTTTCTTGAAAGAAAAATTTTGTGTCAGTAATTTTTGACTTAACCGTAGAAAGAAATGGCATTGAATAGGTCACTAAAGAGGTTAAAAGTTTGTTTGGTCATTGTAGTTCAATTGTCACTTCATTCTGGAGGATAATCTTGCTAGTAGTGGGGTATATCACCATAAACAATCTAGTTGCCATCGTGCCAGTACGTACCATCCATAACTTGTGATGGTGGCCTGTAGCTTTGATTTCATACTAAGCAAAGTGAGTTACCTTGTTGTGAAATATCCACTATATGTGTTGGGATATTTCATGATGAGGCATTGTTAGCAGCAAAGCGTATTTTTCCTTTTTATGCTGATTTGCAGAGCTCGTGATCATCAGAACTTGCAGGTCACCTCAGTATTAGTTAACTAGAGAGCCACTTAGTGATTCACTGCATTCTCACAGTGATTCTGATTTAGGTGCTGATGCTAACTGTTAACGCAGCTCCAGGCAGGCAAGAAAAAGAGAGTGTTTCTGTCAAACACTCCTAAAGATTAAAATATATCTTTTAATACTAGCTAACATTTTCATTTGAATAACTGTGTATTTTAAAATTACTGTGTTGGCATTTTGGCTTGTAAAATGTGTATTTCCAAGTGCTCTTACAATCTATTTTAACTCTTTGTAGTTTGTAGTACTACACTTTGGGTAGGACAACTTGACAAAAGGACTACTCAACAGGATGTTGGAAGTCTTTTGGAGGAGTTTGGCCCAATTGAATCAATAAATGTAAGTATAAATGATGTAGTGTAAGCTACTTTGATAAGTCTTGGTTACAAAAAGTGTTTTCAGACTATTTTAAGACAGTTTTGGTTTTGATACATTAAAAAGAGTCAAGATCTTTCATTTCCTATACAGTTGTGTTTTCAAAAATGAAAATTCCTTTGGTCACTTTGTAGAAGAACAAGGAGGTAGTTGCTTTAGTTTCTTGCAATTTAAAAACGATCTTGGAGGTAATACGGAAGATTATCCAATTTTCATAAAAATCATGCTTTCTCTGGAAGGAACTGAATGAGAAAAGGCTATTGAGGAGATGGGTACAGAATACATACTGTGCTACTGAGTTCCTTGTCTGCTCCATTTTGTTTGAGTATAGAAGTGGGGACTCAGCTGATATTCTTGTTTCTTTTGCTTGTTTCTCTTCTCTCATTTTAGTCATAAACATGGAGAATTATTGTTATGCTTTGCTGTATTTAAGGATCACAGAATCACACAGAATGTCAGGGA